TGGCTAGTAGCAAAGCCAGATTTCAACCCAAGCAGTTTATATTGAAATTCAGGCTTCACTACTACACTAAGTGGAGCTAGATTCAATAACCTTGTTTTTCAGATTTGTGCCTTTTTCTGTTTAAGAAAATCCCTCTCTATTTTCCAATACTGTCTTTGAATGGTTTTAAGTTTTTGCCTTTTAAATTTGGAATTTAGTTGTCTGTTTGGAGTGAGTTAGGAAATCTAAATTTGTGTTGTCGTATGTGGACAGCCTAATATGCCAGCGAAGGCTATGGAAAAAGAGAACCACTTTTCAGTTGCATTCGTAACTCACAGCCAAGTCAGACCTTTGCGGTACTGAGTATTCATGCCTAGGAGCATGGACTTACCTTTCATGGACTTTGTCATAGCTCAAAAAATATCAGGAGTGTTCACCCCCACCTTGTGATTCTTTTCTTTTCTTTTCTTTTCTCCTCTCTCCTCTCCCTTCCTATTCTTCTTAGTCCTCTCCTCTTCTCCTTCCTTCCCTTCCTCTCTCCCTTTCTCTCCTCTCCTCTCTTCCTCTCTCTTCATTTCTCAATTTCTCCCTCCTTTATAAGAATAGTGCTTGCCAAAATTGGAAGGAGTTACAGAGTAATCCAGTGATTAATGGTTTCAGGTGTTAAATAAACTACCTTCCTGCTAAAGCTGTATGGGTTAGTTTTCTTTGGAGGCTGAAGCCCTTGGGTTCTGTCAGCTGTAGTCTTGCAGGCATGTTGATGATTCTGTGTGGAAGCCATGCATGGGATGACACACTGTGGCTCCAAATAGCCCAGGTAGGACAGAAGTCAGATTAAAGACAGTCTGGTTTATTTCTTAGTTATTATACTGGGAAATAGAATCACTTCTAAAATGTGATCATTTGTAAATAATTATATTAAGAGATTTAATCAAAGTTGATTCTAGACCCTAAGCTGTCTTTTCACTACTAGTATTATCAATTTTGATCCTCCCAAGGGCCGGCCCGTGGCTCACTCGGGAGAGTGCGGTGCTGATAACACCAAGGCCATGGGTTCGGATTCTATATAAGGATGGCCGGTTCACCTGGCTGAGCGTGGTGCTGACAACACCAAGACAAGGGTTAAGATCCCCTTACCGGTCATCTTTAAAAAAAAAAAATTGATCCTCCCAGATTAATAGTTAAATTTGATTTTTATATCTATCCTTTAGTTAATAGATTGCATATAAGTTGATATTCATATTAATAATAGAAAACCTAGGAAAGAAAACTAGAGCATGCGTAGGCTTGGAGTCTTAAATCTGGTAGCGTTCATCGTATTTGCTTTCCTTCATATTGTGGTAGACTTTGAACTTAATTATTCTATTAGTCTGTTTATGTTGCTTATAGCAGAATACACGGAACTGGGTGATTTATAAAGAAAACAAAATTTATTGCTTACAGTTTCTTTCTTTTTTTTTTTTTTAAAGATGACCGGCAAGGGGATCTCAACCCTTGGCTTGGTGTTGTCAGCACCACGCTCAGCCAGTGAGCAAACCGGCCATCCCTATATAGGATCCGAACCCATGGCCTTGGTGTTATCAGCACCACACTCTACCAAGTGAGCCACGGGCCGGCCTATTGCTTACAGTTTCTAAGGCTAGGAAGTCCAGAGTCCATCTGGTGGTGGCGACAGTGACTTAGGGGTCTCACATTGCAAGATGATGGAAGCAGAGAGAGACAGACAGACAAGAGAGACAGACTCTCCTCTTCTTTTAAAGCCCTCAGAACCACACCCCTCACCACCATTTTTAATCCATTCACTACTGCATGGTCCTACAATCCCATCACCTCTTCAAGGCTACACCTTTCAATTACCATAATAGGATTTCCCACCTTCTTAGCAGTCACAGTGGGGGCCAAGTTTCTAATACATAAAACTTGGGGGACACAATTCAAGCTTCAGTGAGTTTTGGGGGGACATAATTCAGTCCACTACAATTATTAAACGTAAATACTTGTACTTAATCAGGGTCATATTATATACTATAATTATGGGATCTAAAATCCCATTCAGAAAGACAACCAAACAATGGGAAATTTGTCCAACTTAGAAGCTCGGCCCTCAAGAAAGTGAGTTTCCAGGAACTCTTGTTGCAACTCTTGGCAGCTTGGTTATCTGGAACTCTGGCACCTCTTCCCTTCTGCTGCCTCTGGCCAATTCAATACATACACCTCAAGATAAATCAAGCAGAAGGAGGCAGTGACACAAAACAGTTATTGTGCTTGTCTCTAACTGTTCTGGATACTCTTTTATTAACTAGTAGAGCATAATGTCATTTTGTCATTAATTTCAGTATTTTTTTTAATTCACAATATTTCTCATTTATTCATCTAAAAAGAAAATAATATTGTTTTTATTCATATCAATAGTAATTAATATATTGAATCCAGTAATGAACTAAATGTGTTTTGTAGCTCAGAGATTAGCATACTTGCTGCTCAGATGACAAACTGAGGCAGTACATTTCAGTTGAAAATGAAATAGAGGATGCATTTCTTTTTTTTTTTTTTTTTTTTTAAAGATGACCGGTAAGGGGATCTTAACCCTTGACTTGGTGTTGTCAGCACCACGCTAAGCCAGTGAGCAAACCGGCCATCCCTTTATGGGATCCGAACCCGGGGCCTTGGTGTTATCAGCACCGCACTCTCCCGAGCGAGCCACGGGCCGGCCCTAGAGGATGCATTTCTAGGCTGACAAGTTAAAATTATTGGCATTTCATGAATATTTCAGATTTGTTATATTATTATGAAAATATAGGGGGGTAACCTATATATAATTTTTTCTAGCAGATTGCTGCTAGAGACAGATTATTCTTGGGAACGAAGAAGAAGGGGTATGATTTTAATCTCCAAGATGGTTAATTTACAATTTGACACTTATACTGGGAATTTTTATTAGCCTAAAATGGTTTATTCCTTTCTGTTAACTGCTCAACAGAGAGCAGTTTCTAAAGCATTTTTCTTTGGACTCGACTCTAATTCACTATCACAAGCCACACCCAGTGGCTCCTTCTTGAAGGATTTTTTTCTCCTGAGTTTGGGAAACCTGACCTCTGTCTAGCTTTGGCTAACTACTTTTTTTTTTTTTTTTTTTTAAAGATGACCAGTAAGGGGATCTTAACCCTTTGCTTGGTGTTGTCAGCACCACGCTCAGCCGTGAGCTAACCGGCCATCCCTATATGGGATCCGAACCCGTGGCCTTGGTGTTATCAGCACCAC